GGGTGCAGCTCGGGTGGCCCTCGGTCTGCTGCGAGCTATCCTGCAGCGACCCATCCTGCAGCGACCCACCAGCCCTCCGTGCCTCCGCTGGGCAAATCTTGGAAAACGTGCTTTCTCCCAGCACTTGGATTTCATTCTGAGTTTATCTTTTCCTGTCTCCCCATTGTTAATGTTGCTAGCCCTTTCTGGCACTTGAAAAGTGTAAGGTTTTTTTCACCTGTGTCTCAGGTCAACCTTTTTTTTATCTTCGGTCCAAGTATATTTTGAAAGATGTGATTGCCCTTTTCTCTCCATGAAGAAAAAATGCTCCCTAATTAGTGTTAATCTGGTGATATATAATAGTGGATTTGGAAGGAAAGCTCCTTGCCAATCTTGTGGGCCATACATGTGGATACATTATGTAGAGGGTGTGGGGTTAGTTGTGTGAAAGTGGCCTGGTAGAGATAGATAATGGTTGGACCTGATCATGATCTTAAAGGTCCTTTCCAACCATATTGGTTCTGTGATTCTGAGGGTGGAGTTCCTGCTTAGTTATAAGGAGGTTGAATTTCCCCAGTAATACATGTAAACCATCTGAAATGGGCATATGAGACATGAATACAAGCTGCTGAAAGCACCTGTTGTGTGTTTCCCTGCAAAGTGAAGTGATGCTTCAGTGTTTATGTGGTTGCAGGTGCAAGTTACCCTTTTATACTCATTTGATCCTCCTTCTTGCATCTTTTAAACAGAATACATCACTGATGAACAAAAATTACAAAGTGTTAAAAGTATGTGTGTCAAAAGCCATCTGGGGAGGAGTGGTCACAAGTACTGTATTCTGTACAAATTCGGGATACTAGTATGTGTTTGCAGGTAGTTTAGGAAAATCTTTCAAGTCTGGGTTAACACTTCCAGGATGGTGTCTGATGATAGTCAGATCATCCCAGAACCTCTGGGATGCAGGCCATAAGAATTCACACCTTTCAGTGGTGACTATCTGCTCTCTGGGCAGAGGAAGACTCCGGACTGTGGGAGTGAGGAGCTGCAGAGGATTGACACACAGGGTGGTAGCATGTGGTGTGAGGGGGAGGTCTGTTCAGTGCTCGTCCTGTTCTCTGCCACAGATGTATGTCTAAACTGCCTTTGAAGCCAGGGTGGCTGCAGGTGTTTATTTCCTAGCACAACAGACACATTGTTCACAAGGTGCTCTTTTTATCTTCTTGTAGCCTTGAATGTTAGACAAACTTTTATGAACAAAAGATGTAGGTAGTTACAGTAGTTAGGGATTTTATAAATTGTAAATTAATTTTGCATTTTGCCATATCTCTATGATTGAATGTGCCTTGTCTCTATGAAGATGCATTGTTGTCTTTCATGGAGGGTGGCAAAGAGAAAAAGTAACTGAACTTCTTTGATGTATGCTTCAGGCTTCTGAACTTGGCATAAAAAGGAGACCATCAACTGAAAGCAATGAACCTTGTGAAAAGAAGACCAAGGCACGACAAATTACTCTAGAGGACATCTGTAACCCACTGAAGGCTCAGGATAAAAGTGAGTGGACTGTAAACAAACCTTCAAGCGCTTATACCAAATAAATAGTTTTACATAGTCAAACATAAAAAAAAGAAATACACGTTGGCTGATCTTTAGTACCTATCTCTTGAGCGTGAGGTACGTCTCAGAAGAGCTGTTAGGAGCCATAGTGTTGAAGCACCTTTCTGTGGCTCTGAAAGCTAGGCATCTGAGCCTTGCTTCAGGATTTCTGTGCAAATCTCTTCCAGCTGACTCAGCTTTAATGGGTTGTTCAGTCACTGAAGTCCACACAGCCAGACAGAGATGCTGCAGCTTCCCTTCCTGTGTTGAGTTAACAGCCTGTCTTTTAGACTTGGGCTGAAGCATGACTGACACCTGACAGCTCTGTGGAGTCTGGCCTGTGAGTGGGATACCTAAAAGCTGCCTCAGAGTGAATAGTTCTGACGCAGTGCTCTCAACTGTGAAGTGACAGCCACTTAGTGACACTGAAAGTGTGTGCTCCACCTGGCTTTGAACCAAGAGTTTAAGAGATTAATGGTGCTAGTAGAAAAACAAATTGGTGAATATGAAGTTCATTACATTTACACTCCATTGAAAAGAATTAGCCTTCCTCATTTTTTGGAAGAGGGAATTCAGTTTTGTGGGTGTCACAGTTTGAAGTATCATTAAGGCACCATCACCGGGCAGTACTGTTTGCTTAAAAACAGTACTGAAAAAATACCAGTCATCTTAAAATATTCTTGGCTAATTTTGTGGCTTCACTTTTATCAGTCCAGAAAATAATTGTGCTTCTTTTCCCATATATGAAGAAGCATGCAAGTGAAGAGTATTGATTTTCTAGGGAAGTTAACCAAAGTTAATGCACAGCTCAGTCAGGCTGGCAGAAACATCGCAACAGGAGAGGAGCAG